GGGCATATTTAGTGTCCAACTAGGAACTTCAGCTCCCATTGATCTATCTGTTGCCAGAGGGCCACAAATGGCTCACCTGGAAACCTCAACACGGCAGCAGCTGGTACCACATTGCCCCGAGATTCCCTTATTCAAACTCTGTATTTCGTCCTTCATTTCTCAGCAGTCCTGGCTCTGCTCAGATCCTGGATTTGAACAGATTTGGGGGATTTTGACCTCTGCTGGGTGACTGCTCCAAGGGGCTGCTTTCTATCCCTGTGTATCCTGCTCTCCCAGGCAGCGCTGGGCTCTATCCAGCCCTGGATGCCGGAGGGCTCTTTTCCTCTCTCAGCTCCAACCCAGCAGCTTCCAAGCTGCTCTAATTGACACTGGGCTCTGAGCTCGCTCCAGCTGTGCCTTGGCTCTGGGAGGATTAGAGCCCTTGTGTGTGGCAGGGTAAAAGCTCCCCTCAGCACTGCAGGCACTTGTTTAGTTGATGCATGTACTGTCATGTCTGGACAAGCATTTGGTGGACAGAGAGTTTCTCTACTGAAAAATAAAACAAAATAATATTTTTCTAGCCTACGTCCCTGCTTGCACAGCACCCTCATGTGAGCTGGCACACCAGGGGCAGAGACTGCTGAGCAACCTCCTACGACCAAGGCTTCCTTTTCTCCTACAAACCATTTTATTCACGCACGAGGAAGCATCATAAATAATTACAAACGGGCTGCGCTCCCAGAGCACGGAGAAATGCGCCATTTGCCAGGAACTCGCCTCCCTTACTCTGTTCTCCTGCTCAGAACCAGCGGGAACTTTGTACGTGGCTTCTGTCCTTAAAGCAAGATCGAAACCTGAGCCGGAAGAGGGGAAGAGCAGCGGAGCCACCACAGCCAGGGAACAGAGGGACTTTTAGTTTCTTTAAAACAGGAGGCAGAGGGAAGGCTCAAATCCTTCAAACTACAGTGTGGTGCCTCTGGGCAATGTTAGGCAGCACGGGCTGGGCCCTGGACAAGATATTAATCTCCTGCTGCGTGTAGGGGTCTGAGTCATCCTTCTGGAAACACCATCTCTCTCCCCCTGACATCATGGTGAGCATTAGCTCTGGATTGAGAAGGACCTGGTGCTTGTTGGCCACCACTAGTGCCAAATCTGAGAGCTGAAATTTATGCCCATCTCCAGGGAGAAGGGGAAATACCTCTGCAAGCTCCATCGATAACACAGGCTTGTTTAAATGCTTCAGCTGGCTTCTGCTTAGTCGGTGTTCCCATCTGGAATGGGAGAGATCCAATAAATTGCAATTTATTTGCTGTAAATCTCTTGCTGTTACCTTTTCCCACTAGCAGCCCTTCTCAGGTCAGGCACTCCTGGGCCTCAACAGGAGGCAGATTAAGTCAAACTCGCCAAAAATTCCCCATCTTCCCTGCTGGAAATGAGCACAGTACACACATCTAGCATAAAATCTGACCACTCACCACATCCAAGGGAGCACATTAACTAACAGTGCTTGGGAATACCAGGATTGAAGACCTGCATTTGCTGCTCCGCATTCCTGCCCTCCAAAGCAGCTCGGAGGCCGGGCTCCTGCCACCATCTAGTGGTGCTGAGAAGCAAGCAGCAGAGCGAGGGCAGAGCTGCCCAAAATCGGGTCTGTCCCTGCTAAGGTCTGCCCAGGTCCCACCATGTGTCTGGCCCGGTTACCTCCCTCTGACCACTTGTATTTCCCAGGTCTCCTTCTCAACTCCTATCTCATGTTGCTCTCGGGAACATACCTCATTCAAATGAGCTTCTTGTAGATGTTTCAGCTATCTCTCCATTGTGTGACATCTCCTAAGTGGCTGGAAAAGATATTGCCATTTTCCTCTCCCTCTTACTGCAGGTCATTCCCTGAAAGGTTCCTTTAAAGGGATAAACGTTAATGACTGCAGTATATGGTGAAATATTTTGATCACAAGCCTTAATGAGAGCTGTGAAAAAGCTGGTTCATGGATCGCCCTACACTTTCTTTGTGGCTACAGATGAAACCCTTTACTATTTATTTGCATCAACGTGCAAGAATCAAGAATTGCATTTGAAGGACCTAACAAAGGTAAAATAAAAAGCAAGGGCTTAAGCAGAGACTTCCTTATGCTAGAGAAACATCTTTGAAAGACACAGAGTTTAGCCCTGCTGTGAAGTCCTACAGGCTTTGCAATAGCCTCCCAGGAGCAGAGCAGTATGGTTGGTCAGATGGATGTTATAGCCTAGGGTAAGTAATTTCCATCAGTAAAGGTCACAGAACTTCATACTGCTATAACAACCTCCTTTATAAAGGGCACGGAAACACAAGGAAGTTGCCAAAATTGCCCAGCAAGACAGAGTGAGGAACCCAGGTCCCTAGAGACCAAGGGCACACGCTGACCCCGAGGGACGCTGCTTTCTTACCAGTGCTCAAGGACGATTCAGCCCCAGTGAAGTTGCACTCGGTTCTCAGCATTTCTGCTGCTCACTTAGCTCAGCTGCTTTCTGCCAGAGGGTTAGCAGATGAATCGAGGGCAATATCCAGGCTGCATCCGAAAGGCTGGCAGAAGCTACCAGCTAAAGACTAATAACCAGCTTAATTGTTCACATAAACTTCTCAGGACAACTTTCCTTTGAAATTCTATATTATAAGAAGAAGGCTAAAGATATTTGTGTGCAGAAAAAAAATAGAAGCATTGCTGTAGGAAGACAGATGTGGTCCCTCATTTTCAGCAATACTTTCAAGCAATATTGAAATATTTGGCACGAAACATGCGATTAAAGAAATGCCACTGCTGATGGCAGATGGTACCTCTCATCCCAGTCTGTAGCAGCCTGCTAACGTGAGATATAATCTGATTGCAAACACAGTGTTGACATTTTTTTTTCCAGATGAGCAAGCTTTACATAATTTTTCATTGTGCTTATTTTAGTTTGTTATCAAACATCAGCATTAGGAGCAACCATCTGATTACCATGTTATCAAATGAATCCCTTCTGCTCAGCCCACCCTTTCAACCTTTGAACACCTGGAAATGATCTATAACAATCAAGCAAACAGCCTTTTTTCCTTCTATAGTACCTGCAGAAAACACTCCCTTTAAGTGGCTCTTGCTATTAGGGGTCTGAAAGGAGCCTTGAAATAACCTTTAAAACTATGACACTGAGCTACACTAGCATCTTCTATATGCAGAAGTTGTGTATAGAAGTATATATATATTTCACCAGGTGTAATGATTGTGAAATGTTCTGGACAGCAGGTTGCTCATGTTTACTTTAGAATAAATAGTAGCTCACCTTACATGCTCCTATGAGCTTTCTCAGGTGTAACTCCATGAAGAAAGAGCTAAAAAACAGGATCTTCAAGGAAACTGCCCTTTCATATAACTCATTGAACAAACCTGTGTGTTTGCCAAACAGTGGCTGCTTAAGTTATGAAAGGGAGCTTGTTTAACAGAAAACAGGTGACCGCAAGTCCTGCTCCCTTTTTGCTTCCCCATTGCCAGTTTGGGCACTGAATTCAACAGAGGCCAAAGATGACGACTGCTTTGCTAAAATAATGGGCAGTAATGCCAGTTTGGGGCAGGTATTTCCTAACTAGCCAGCTTTCTTACAGCCATTCCAAGGGGATTTGTCAAAGCTATGCTGTTAAAATTGATCACTTTTTTTTCCTACTAGTTCTCAGAGTTCCTTTTCTCACCAAAAACTATGAAACCACCTCACAGATTTGCTTTTAAACAATGCTGCCATTTGTCACCAGATTTGAATGGCCACCATTTGGATACATCCAGAATAAGTCAGAGCACTATGTGAATGCTTTGAACCATGCTCCTCAGAGAAGCACATACTTCTTGTACTTGTCACACAAATTCAGTGCCTAACATTCAGTAAGCTTCCAAGAGCAATACAAAGTAGGTTTTCCTTACTCAGTCTTACTGCAAACACAGAGGTGCTGCCTGTTCCAGCTGCAGAGTAACTGGAGCTGGAATTTATCAAGTTCCAGTATCTTGGTTTCAACTGCTATCCATGTCCTTCAATAATCTCAAGTCGCCTGCTGGTATTTTGAAATACTCAGGATCTGGTCTCTGTTCAGCTCATTATATAGTGCCTGTAGCAAAGAGGCTGTGGAAAGCATGATAATCATCAAGGAAAAGTGACCAGTCTCTTACCCTTGCCCAAGGCATGCGACCTGAAAACAGCAATCACAGGAGGTTACTTATGTCGTTACACAAGTCCTACCCTCTCAGAAGTTCTCCTCTGTTGCAAGAAGTTAACCTGCTTGGTGGTTCTGCTGCCCATCCTACAAAATATTGACAACTCTGAGGACAGAGAAGATTTGGCTGAAATTGTTGGGATTCCAGGAAGAGAAATGCATATACAGGTGAAAGGAACAAAAGCTCATTTGATAGTTAACAAAAGACACTAGTTTCAGAAATGTCAACCGAGCTGTTTCAACTCCCGTCTGCCATACATTTCTTGGTGCTCCAGCTGATATTAAGGATACAGCTCCTCATGGAATTGATAAAAGCTGGCTTTACCTATCAGTGAGTGAACAGGGAGACAAAAAATATCAAGAAAAAAAAACAGCACAAAACACCATTCCGCATCACAAATCCTGCATTTATCATGATGGGCATGGGCTATGTACCCTACTACACAATACACAGAAGAAAGAAATCTATGTAAGATGCTTACAGGAATGCAAGTATAACACAAGGTTTGAAATTCCAGTCTACTGTGCACTTTCAAAAGTATTTTCTTCTCTTGGTGCATGCAGCTTAGATGATTTATGAAACTTCCATAGCAACTGGTGAGTAAAATAGAGACAACAGAATAAACTTCATTGTTTTTATTCTGCAAAGCAATATGCACATCTTAACAAACACAAAAATAATCTAGGAGAGAAATGTCATTTCCAAATCAGCTATTAACCATCATGCAACAAGACAAGTGAAATGTAAGAACAAAACAAAGCCATCTTAACCCTACAATCATCTGCAGAGGGTTGAAAACAAGGCTCAGATTCTCTATGTAATGCCAAAGAAAAATGCAACAGAAAATGGCAGCTTTCTAAGAACAAGGAAACACGTACAAATAGAATCAAAACTGATTCAAGTCATAGTTAAAAAGAAAAAGAAAACAAAAAAGGAAAGATCAATATGATCCGAACTTTTAAGTTTTTACTCTTCTGTTTGGCTGCATTTAACTTTTGTACATTACGCTTAAGTACAATCCAAAGTTCCTCAGTACCACAGCATTTCAACACAATGGGCACCCTTATCTCCTTGCTGCAATACATGGGGGCAAAGGGATGATGAGCTAAGGCCAAAAAAAACACATCTCCTTAATGTTCTCCCCTTTGCATTTGCGGATCACAACTTTAGCATCTTTGGGTATTTCAATAGAGTGGGTGATACTGCAAAGCAGACCCTTCTAATTATCCAATGGCAAAGCCAGATTAAAAACAGAAAAGAAATCCAAACAACAACAAAACCCACAAACCTGTTTTCCCCACCATGTTGTAGTGAGAATTTTTGGAGTTGGATTTTAGTTTGCTGGAACACAGAAGACTTGAGTTTTTTTTTTTTTTTTTTTTTTTTTTAAGAATTCTTGTTAACTTGGGTAATTCTGAGTTATTTCCAGGATCTGCAGGACAACCCCACTCTGTCGCAGCACACCACTCAGTTTCCCCTCCCTATTTTTGGTCCCCAACCAAGCCACCCTCTTAGGTAACTCTGGACATGAACACTAACACAGAAGGCTGGGTATGCATAAGTTGGGAACAGCCCCAATAATTGTCCATGAGAAGCTGTCTGCCTATTTTCACTTTACTGGTTCATTTCAGGGAGGCAGTGCTAGTCGTAGCATCACTGGGAGGAAAACAGAAGCCTCCTTTTATTCCCAGACTTCAAACCAAGCCATCTCTAAAGCTTTACCTTAACTTCCCTGGAGAAAAACTCACATTACTTAACACCACACAAGGAACTGAAAAGCTATAATGGAAATATGTTTTGAAGAAAAGTGTGACTATTTTGCTTTGAATGCTCTGAAGATTTAAGAACTTACCAAAGTCCTATACATACCAGCTGGCAGATCAGTGGGGTACCATTCACAACAGTGTCTACAGGTAATAAACTAAGTATCTTAAGCCAGCAAAACTGTCTGCAGGATTTAACTTGGATTTATTGTTTTGTCTTCATACTTAGGGCAAAACTTATCAAAGAAGAAGAAAAAAAAAAATATGCACATGTTTACAGACCTGCAGTTATACTACCTGACAGGATAGCTGCAAGACGAGATGAAAGGTAAACTAAGGCAATCAGTGAGATTTTAAAAGCAGTGGTGGAAATCTCAGCAGGAAAACCCTGACTCATGAAAACAAGGAGCTTACTAAATAAAAAGCTAGAAAGAAACAGCTAAAGCTGGAATGGAAGAGGGAGAAATGCACATTATAACTCCTCTGATTTAAGAACGGACTCAGAAAACATATGGATTTTACTGTACAGTTTCTTTGACCGGAATCACAACAGCCCTAGCTCTCTCCTTGTCATTCTCCCCTCAATGAACAGCATTAAATAGAAATTGGACAAAGCTAATAAAAGTGTCATTTTCAGCTGCCTTTCAGAGATGGAGGGTCTCAAATTGAAGCTCCATTACAGACTATGGGATTCCTTTTCCTCTTATTATTTGTGCTTGCCCGAGGCTGTGCAGAGCCCTAACAAAATGTTAATACAATGCATCTTTTTTATTAAGGTTCACCTTCTAGAAAAAGAAAGGTTATAGAAAACTACTCTGCAGCAAAGATGCAAGTTCCATACTTGAAGAAGGCTGTAGATGGAGGGCAAAGGAAAGCTTTCCAGATAACCTCTACACTGACTGATTCCCTGGTATTCAGCAAGCCAATGGGAAAAAAAAAGAAAAAAAATTCAAACTTAGCACTTTCCAGTAAGAAAGATTTTAAAATGGGATTTTACTTCTTAATTTCTATGAATTTCTATGAATAAAAGCACAAGTTTGTCCTAAATACAGCACTATTAAAATGTGAATATGTTTTTCTCTTTTCAAAAGAAGAAAATCTAGAAATGTTGATATTTTTTCTTGCAAGCAAGGAGCAACTGGAAAAAGATATTAGGCCACACAAATACACATTTAATTCATGTCGTAGATTGGTGGCTTTGGAAATGCAGTATTATATCAAAGGTGCATACTGGTTCAAACACACTGTACATATCATTGGGCAAAAAAAAAAAACCCAAAACAAAACATATATTTGTTGGTTTGTTTGAGACATTTGCAAAGGCATCTTAACCTGTCCAGATGCAGCTAGACAAAAATATCTTGCTCTGACTATATGTAGCCATATCACTAAACATATCTACACAAACATTCGGCTATGTCCACAGGAAAAGACTGAAGTTTCCGGCCGCACTACAATGCGGAACAAGTGCATCGTCTGACCTATTCTGAATATACTTTTATAAATATGTACAAATCAATTACAGGCACTTGAAATGTCTTTGGTTGGAATAAACCAACATTGCAAGATAATGTATTCACAGAGTGTTAAGACCCATTCTGGGTTCAGCAGGCAATGATTACGGTTCTCAGTCATTCTCAGTAAAAGGAGAGGATGGATTATGCTTCAGACAAAGCCACCTAAACAAAAGAAAACCAAAAGATTTAATTAAGTCAAATTTGTAACCCTGTAACAGTGATATTCCTTATCTCCATGCAGGTCACATTTCTGCCCTTGCCTTTTCGAAGAACCTTGAAAAGTCTGACTTGGAAAGGAAATTAAAGCCAATCTGAAGGTGTTTTGTATTTATCATGATTAATCTAATAAGTATATCTACTTTTTTTTTTTTTGAAAAAAGCTATAAAATATTGTTACGATACCAACATCATAATTTTAGTACTATAAAGTTAACTTTAGCCTCATTTACAACTAAATATATTTATATTTAACTCTTCAAGAAAAATACAGGCCTCCAATGTAGTACTGAATAACAACAGTTATATAACAACAGTTACTCAGTATGTTTCAACATATATTTCAACAGTTTCATCATTGATTTTGCTTAATTTTGATAACAACCTTTAGAAATGTCATGTTTTATTCAAAGTTTTAAGTCTCTTGTGAGACTTAAAGCAGCCCAAGTCTAAGGCTCTACAAAGCACATATAGGTGCTTTATAGCACCCCTATGTCTTATTTACAATTAAGTACCTGTGTATCTTCAAGGGAAAAAAACCTACACCTCACGATCAGAACAAGCAGCCTGTACGAACTGTGTAAAAAGAAGGTTTTCTATGTTTTCTTATCAGACAGTGGTTTTTATTACTCATACTTACTTTTTCAGAGCAGAAGTCTGTATTGCTTTGCCTAAGTTTGCTTGGTCTCCCTTTAATAACTGCATAGCAGAACATTGTAATCACCATCACAAAAAGAAAGTAGCTGGTATGCATGAGATGCAGGTTTATTAGAGAGCGATCATCCTGCACATAGAATTAAAACCATTTACTGACACGGCACTGATAGTTGGTACTTTCTATTAAGGCAATAATTAGCACATTAGCACAGAAATTGCTGCAGGAATCAAGCTTTTCCCTCTTTATGAAGCTAGCATAGTAATGAAAGTGATCTTCAATTTCAGCACATAAAGACACAAAATGTTGCTCATACTAGACAACTGTACTAAGGGTCTCTTTCTACAGGATGGCTGTGCCTTTGGTCAAATTATTTCCAAATACAAGTCTTACAGGCACACGGAGGATATACGGAACCCAACACCCCCACCAAGGATAAATCTGCCCCTTGTGCTACATAATAACCCAGATCCAGCCCTGAATATGGTTATTTGAGACAGGGATAGGACCATATTCTGTCAAATCTGAACTATGCATTTATTCAACATAACATATAAAAGCACAGTGGGTACTTACATCTGGAACTATAACAGTTAGTTTGGGATTTAAAGCATGATACACTTTTCCAATTGCTCCTTTGTAACACCAGAATGGGTTATAATCTTGTGCATATTTTGTATTAGAGTCCCTGGCTGTGGTGAAGATCTTGTACCAAAGTGTAGCATTGCTGTATGTTTCAGGAACACAATGTGGTGGCTGACTGCAGAAAAACAGAAATGATTAGCACCCAAATTGCTATTCTCCATGTTCAGTAAGAGAGTAAAATACAATTTTGGACCTTCCAAAACAGGAGGAAAAAAAAAAACCCAACATTTTAACCAAAGGCAGGCATGAAAACATATGGTTCCTATAGCAACATCAGAATTTTACTGTATGTTGTTCCAGTAAGTCAACACTCCACAGCTTAATTAGAGAATACATTGGTTTCATAAGCATCACACGATGACGTGAATCTGGGGCTATGCAGAGTATCCTGAATAGTGTCAGAGAGTCCAGAGGGGAGCTACTCTCATGAAAGGCACTTTCTGGGGGTTGGTAGCAAAGCAACATCCTGCTTGTGCTGATCTTTCATCAGGGAAGTGGGTAAGAACCTTAGAGTCTTAGGTCTTGGTTTGCCTACAAGGCAGCAAAACCTGAATTATAGGGTATCTTTCTTAAATATTCATTGACCACTGTTCCTAATGAAGTTTAAATTACAGCTTGTTGAAAGGCAAGGAAGGCTACAGTTCAAAACATCCACAGAAAAATGTGATGTTGCTAGAAGACAGCAAGTGTCTCGAGAGTCAATAGAGGGTTGTTACTGGGGTGAAAAGGAAAGCAGGAAGAGGGAACCTCAGAGTGCCACCTGAGCAATGAGAAACTGCAAATTTTCACCCAAAGGGATCATTCAATGAAAGAGCATTTAGAAGTGTCACACTTACACTGTGACAGGGAATACGCCGCTGGCCGCCGTCACAGTCATGCAGGTGGTGAACACAACCTGCTCGCAGTGACCGTGGAGAACACAATCGTCTGAGTTCCAAGCAGCCGGCAGGGTGAATGTGATATTAATTTCCTCATGGGATTCTCTGCCTTTTAGGGAAAAATAAAAAAGTATTTAATTAATCTTGATGCTGTGTGCAATGCTGAAGTTTGTTCATGCATTTGTATTTTAGATTACCTGTGCTTTTACACAATATGTCACTTGATTTCTCGTGTATACATTAATGAGTTTAATATTTGACTTAACCACTTGAAAATGCATCAGGATAGAGCTGTCCAAATATTTACTGTAGAAGCGCTTCCTGATCAGAATTTTGTTGAATCAAAAATTATCTTCCACTGTCATTAGGCTGATCATTTTACACAGCAAAGCCTAATCCTGGCAGATCTTTCCATTCTGAGCACATGGAAAAGCCTTTCAAGCAAACAAATGAAGGCTTCTGTATAGGAATTTGCCAACAACTAATCTGGTAACAGACATATTCTAAGCAAAAGCTTCATCTCACCAGTAATAAGCTGCAAATTTTTATTTCTCTTCCTAAATAATTTGATTATATTCAAATTCAAAATTACAAAAGTTACCATTCAAATACCATTCAATTACCAAGTTACCATTCAAAATTACCAAAAAAGTCTTGCATACCTGAGAGCCCAATTTGGTGTCCAAAAATTGTGGAACTTAGATGAGTGACATTGCGAGAATAGCCACCGAAGGGTCTGAGTGGGTCCAGGGTCAGAGTGATTGTAACAGAGATGTTTATGGGGCCAGAGTCCTCGAGAGTCTGTGGAGACTGTGTAGAAGACCGCGCTTGTCCGCTGGTCACTGTACTTTCCGGGGTTGTGGTATCATTGATGAGATGCTTTAAGGTTTCATTCTCAGATATACAGAAGTCCAAATCATTAAACCTCAGGAGGAAGGTATTCCAGTCCTTAAAACAAACACAGAGACTTACATCAGATTAACAAGTTAACTTTTGGCTGTGACTTCTCTAGAGCAGTGCAACCTTAATATCTACTTTTCAGCCCACAGTTCCAAGCCATTTAACATCGATTAAATGGCTCATGAAGCAAGCACAAACACCATCATGGTTATCTCAAGAATGAGATAAGTTGGTTGCAAAAATTAAAGCACTCAGGCCTAGCCACTGCCTGCTAAGCACAGCAAATAGTATCATGACTTAAACAACTGAACCATAAAATTAGAGATAAGTATTAACGCAGACAATATCCCATACGATGCTGCTGCACTGCCACGAAAGGGTTTTGGGGGAGAAAAAAAGGAACTCATTCCCTTTAACATGTTTCTCAAATAAAAATTCCCAGTGTTAAAGTAAGGAACTTTTTGTACGGTACCTCTGTCATTTCCGGTGACTTGATCTCCTTGATTTTAAAGAAATAACCCAGTGTCAGGAAAGCAATTGCCATAGTGCTCACACTGATCATAAAGACCACAAGTGGAGGTCGACTGCTGATGTAGACCTTCAGGTTCTCCAACAGGTTTATGTTGAACATTATTCTGATTGTTCACCTGAAAATAAAGAATATTACAGTGAATTGACTAGGCTGTGTGCACTCTTGAGGGAGGGAGGGGATAGGAAGTGTGTAAGACAAATTTGACAACAAAAAAATGGAACTATATACTAAAATAAGGCTCAATAACACAACTCTGTCTGCGCCATTCACTGAACATGCACTCTGCATACCTCAAAGCACAAATCAAAACACATTCAGCTTCACTTTCCCAATTCCTGCAATTACCAGTCAGATGCAGATACAAAAAATTGAGAACTACTTCTAGCAGAGTCCAATGCAAAACAGAAGCCATCACTGACAAGCAGTAGAAACAATAAGAATATTCTTTTTTTTCCTCCACTTAAACAGCTAGTAATATTTCGATTCATCAAAACACAGTGCAAGCAAGCTTGCAATGCAGCCCACAGGTCAAAGTCTGTACATTCCCATACACACTTCCAAAAATTGAGGCTAGAGTCTTAGAATATCCCTCTTTCCTCCCTACCTTGCCCTCACACCACCAGACCTTCAAGGTGGAACCTGGGAAGCAACCCAGACAATTTTAGGCTCTTTTTTTTATTATTATTATTTGATTTGTGCAGGGTCAAGGGAAATTGTAGTAGTCAAGAAACAAGAAGAAAGCTCCACACTCCCTGGAGAAATATGCTGAGTCAATAATCTTTGTCAAAAAAAAAAAAAAATTAAACTTAGTCTTTCCAATTCCCCTCCTGAATTTCTATTTAATTTGCTGAGTAGAAAGACCAGAAGAAAGTTTACTGTGAGAGCCTCCCATCTCCACCCCAATGAAAAGCAAACAGTGAGTGGTAAAGGGCAGTCTCAGCGCAACCACTCCAGCAGCTCTGCAAGGAGAAAATGCCAAGGAAGTCTTTTACTTTTGTTTTACTTGTGATTTTTGGGGAGAGAAAAAAAAAAAAGAAAGAAAAAAAAAAAGACTTTAATCCTAGATTTAAAATTGTTGCTAGAAATGTACTGTTTAACCTCAAATTTATGGGAAATGACATCACGACTAGTATCTCGGGAATTCAGCACTGTAATGGTTAATGTTTGGCCACGCATATGGATCTGCTGATAATTTTTAGTTAAGTCAGGGACACTGCTCCCAGCAGGTTTGTGTGGTTCTCATTGACATTTACGAGAAGCACAACAGACACAAGCCAGAGGCAGCACAGCTGAAGAAGGACACATTTTGAAAGAGGGAAGTAGGCAGGGAGAGATCTTCTATCTGATCTACTGATTTAGAAGAGCAAGGGGAGGGAAAAGGATAAGGTTTTCTTCTGGATCCCACAAGCTACAGCAGTTACAACTTCTTTGTATGTTCTTCCCATTCTCCTGAGAGCAACGCCTCAGACAGCCTTTTCCTGAAGGAGAAAACCTGCAAATGACCCAAACCTGCAAACCTGTTCCAGAAGGGAGAGAAGCAGCTCAGAGGAGAACAAGACGACGGCAGCGGGTCAGAGACGCAGACTTCCCCTCCTATCCTGCCACCACCGCCGTGCCCTTCCTGGGCAAACCTGCAGAAAGGGCTCACGTTGGAGCACCGGCACACGTCCTGGATCCTGCTTTGCCCATTCACCAATTTTCATCCATACCTGCAAAGGCCAGGAGAGGTACCTCTTCCTACGAGCAGTAACTACTGGCTGCTACAAACGCACAGCGTGCCCAAGTGCAAACAGTCGGTGCAGAGAAGGAGGGAGGGATGGAGGAGAAATGAAAGCAAAGGCAAGAGGTAATGACAAAAGTGCATCTTACCCGAACGTCTGTCTTTGTCAAAGAGCAGCTATGCTACTGCCAAAAAAACAGCAAAGGTGTCAGAAAAAGGCAGGTCTGAGAGGGAAAGGGAGAGTTGCTGTTGGCAAGAAACATGCTGGCTACGAGCCTCGCTGCTCCGAGCGCTGCCTCCTGTCTTGTCACTGTCTGCAAATTTCTTACATGAGCCCTGGTTAGAAATCCCCAGCGTCCCATCTAGAAGCACGGGAGCCACATGTTGAGGTGGAAAAGGATCAGAAGATAAACCCAAAGCGGTGCTGAATCCCGCGCTCTCTGCTGCATTTCCCTGGGGGAGCGATCGCGCAGATCCCGCCTTTATTACAGCACTTAATCAAAGCGGAGCGTCAGCCGGGGCGCGCACAGCGCCCTGATCTCCGCGGCGGGGACGGCCCGGCCATCTCGCCTGCCACGGGGTTTAAAACCTGCCACGCACGTCGATGCGCTGCAAAGCACATCGTGCACAAAAGTACTCGGGTTAATATTTTTATGTAAGAGATCTCCAGCTCTAAAGTGCGTGCCCTGGTAACTCAACAGCTTAGGAAGCAATTAGGAAATGCTATAAGCTGCATTTTCCAAAGGGTAATACGTCTTTGGAGCATTTGTCAGAGAAAAGGGAGCAACTGTGGATTTTAATGCTAGAGCTGACGTGAAAGCAGCAGTTCTGCATGGCGAGTGCAAGCCAGCATGGAGAAGGATGTTTCTACACTGCTGCCTGGAACACTACTCATTTTTATGAAATAAAGTGAATATATATGAAATATAGTATCCATATATATGAATATGGATATATTATGAATATAAATATTTATCTAAAGATGAAATAAAGTTTCTCTGCTTATTTATGTAACAGGTTACACACATCACACACGTAAACCAAAATATATATTCTTACAACATTTTAAAGGCTCAGTTCACAGTGCTCACACTCAAAACTACTCCTTTCTTTTAAGGCCCGGTGGAGATAAAACACATTCTCTACCCTTCTGCCAGCTCTAGTTGGAACTATCTCCTCTATGTAAATAAATAAGCTCAAGAATGCAACATACTTTTATTTTTCTCTCCCCCACAGATAAGAAAAAAAAAGGAAAGAGAATATTATTAGCTGGTGGCAGGTCAGAAAACAAGATCAGATTTCCTGGTTTAATTAAATAAATAATTTACATTAACTTAAATAATTAACAAGTGTCATCTGCCTCTCCGCACTCTGGCTAAACCTCTTCATACCTGGGCAATAGTTATATCCATAATCTACCTAGAAACTACCTCAGGCACAACAGGATGGATGGATATTGCCAACCTGCATCACTGGCCGCCTCCCAAGTCTCTTTTTCTGGTATTGAGGTGCATATATCAAGACAAAAAGCCATGTTCAAGCGGAGTTACAGCTGTAGGTACTTGTCAGGAGACTCAGGCAAGCGTTGCAAGGATGCCAGGCTCTTCAATCAGGCACTTCAAACTCAGGAAATAAATATTATTATGTGGTTGAAAAAGATAAATATTGAAAAGGAAATGCACAATGGTTATTATGTCAGTCTCCCAAAGAAATGCTGCTTTCATTAGTCAGCTAGAAAGTGATGAAACAGCCACTTACTTTACAGTTCTGGAGGATTTTCCTGCACATTGGCTCAAGGCCGAAAGCAGCAACCTCAAAAAAGCAACATTTCCAAGCCTTATGGGTTTTGATACAAAAAGGGATATAAAAAAATGTAACTTCTGAAGCAGTCCTGTGAGTTTTTGCAAGGGTAATTTACAAATAAGGAAAATAATGGAGTCTATTTCAGAGATCAACAAGTCAAAGAAATGAGTCATAGCAGAAGTACTAAATTCCTATTTCTGGGGCTTAATAAAGAAACAGCATTCATAGCAATAATAAAAAAATGTATGTTGCACTGAAATAGGTATTAACAATAAAACTGCCATTGCCAAAAGGAAAAGAAAAATAAAAATTTCAAAGAGATTAAAGATATTGCATATTTTAACACATTGTCTTCACTATAAGGTCATCTACCATCTATCTGATAGACAGCTTAAAAACAGTAATTTCCTTATAAAAGTTTCCCCTTGTTGTGCATGTAAGAGAGCCAAAGGAGTTTGTTTTTTTTTAATTTAACAACAGAAACCAAAACACAAAAATATCTTAATGAAGAAAACCGTGGGCAGAAGACAAGGGTAACAGGCCAGAGCTAACTCATCCTAACAGCCTCCACCCAACAGGCTCCTTGCCTCCTTTGTAAGCCTGAAAATCTTACTGCTCTTAGCAGCATTTCAACTTAACTCTACAGCTCAGTTTATTTATTTATTTTTTTTTTTTTATCAGCAATTACGTTTCCAAAGATGAAACAAAACTAGTGGTAAAACAGGGGTTAGGAAATGGGTCACATGAGGGTTAATCACTCGAATAAGAAAGCTTGGCTCGCCAGAAGAACACTCAGGAGCACAAACCAAGTGAACTGTGATTCTCCCAGCAAACCATCCATAAATAACACAAACACAAAGAGACAGGATTAATCTCAAAATGAAACCACCTCCTATTTAAGCACAATAAACAGCAGCAGGTATCAGAAGTACCTTTAATTAAATTTGCTTTTTCTTTTCAAGCAATGCTTGAAGACTAGCGCCTAAAAGACTAATGCTAAAAAGCAGGGGATGGCAGCTGTGGTGTTAAGCCGGCGATTCAAATTTAGAAAGCACAAGAAGGTCTGCAAAGCCCCATGAAGATTAATTAATATCTATACCTCCAATCTGGTATCAGCAGGCTGGTGACTAGAAGCAAGAGAAACCTCATCTGGTCTTGCAACTGGAAAAGGTTCTCAAGACAACTTCATCCTGATATTATCCAGCTGTTAACCCACCCCCTTCTCTCCACCCTCTTTTTAAAAAAAAAAAAGCATCAAAATTAAAATTAAGCACAAGTTTCCAAATCCATCAGAAGGCTGTACAAATAACACATTTCTGCTCCACTAATCAGTACCAGCTTTTACTGTTAGTTTTGCTGAGGAATTAGGGTAGGATGAAGAGCAAACTCGCTCCTTCCACCTCTGCTGGAATCTCACAGCATCCGAGATTCCTCCTGGACCTGTGCGCACCCCCTGAGTGGAGCTTCTCTCCTGGCCAGCTGAGCCCTTCCTGCCTCCCATCCTTGGGGACACAAAGATGGGACCATGCAGGGAGACTCAGGACAACCACCATCCACTGTCTGCACAAAGAAGCAACTGGGATATGCGGAGA